GTACTCTCACTCCGGTGGGAGGAAAAATGCTGGCAGCGCCTTGGAAAGGAGTCGGGAGCAGTTGCCGGTAAAACGCGAAACCGCGCTCGCCCGAAAAGGGTGCGAAGCAACAGAAACCCCGCCTCCTGCGCTTGCCAGCTGGGCTCTGCTCTAGGAAGGAGGCTCTGGCAAACCACTTCCGAAATACTTGCCCTGAAAACTGCAAGGACTTGTCCAAGCAGTCACTGCAGAGTCAGTAATGACTGAGTGCAGATTAAAAAAAAAAAAAAAGATTCAAAATGATGATGATGATGATAGTTGGAGAAAAGGGCTCAGAGTAATCAAAATCATGCTCAGATACAGGATGGCCGATGCCTGTTGGGAGAAAGTCTTGGAACAGGAGTTGTATGCAAACTGAATAGGAGCCAGAAGTGTCCTGTGTCGGCAAAGAGGACAAATGCAATTTTAGGCTGTTAACAAAAGTATAATTGTCAATTAATGGGTCGTAGTAATCACTCTCTTCTGCTTTAGTCAGACCCCTTTTCAGGGACTGTGCCCAATTCTGGGTCCAATCCTTTAAGAAGGTTTCAAAGAAATTGGAACAGGTTCAGAAAAGGTCAGTGCAGATGCTCAGCTTCAGGTCTAGGTCCTATGAGGAACTGCTGAAGGAGCTGGGTATATTTGGCTCTGAGAAAAGATGGAGGGGGGGGGATAGAACAGCATTCCTCGGGTAGGTATCAGGCTGCTCTTTATCATTCCAGTGGGCACGGTGGTACAAAGCAAGGGCATTTGTTTCAGAAAGGCACCCAGCAAACTGTTCCGATAAGCATTTGGACAGGGGAGCCCCTTACCCCTGGTTGGATGCCTTCTGTCTGCCGGGATAGCTGAATTCTTGCACTGGAGCGCGAGGGTCTCTTCAGCTCTGGGATACTGGTGGCGGTACATTTACACCCCGAGCTTCCTGGCCCACCGTGCCAGGAGGCTGGAAGCAGATGCTTCCTGCGCGACCTGGCCTACAAGCCACCTTCCATTACACGTCTGGCTTCCCCTTCCCCACCCTGGGGCCACATGCAACTTCAAAGGCATTTGTTCACAACAGACAAAACATTTTAGGACTTCTGGAGGGGGTGGAGTAAAATTATTAACACGCACCCCAAGCAAGCCTTGAAATTGTGGCCCGCTGCCCACATGTGGCCTTCCAAATAATTGTTCACGACAGGCCACAAGTCTTAAGAGTGACCCCCGTTCCAGCGAGGCGAGAGCCAGGTAGGCAGCCTGATGGGGAGAAGCAGCTCAGCAGCTCCCTGGCAGCCAGAATGAGAGAAAGCAGCTTCTTCACACATGGGAAAGCGACTGGCCCCAGCCCGCTAGTCTCGCCGGGCCCCCCTTGGACTCTGCACCCAGGCAGGGCAGGCTGAGGGGCAGCCGCACTCCCAGTCCCACACGAACCACCACCGCAGCGGGGCTGGGGGCTGTTCTTCCATACTGTGGCTTGCCACAGCTTC